AGTAACCTTGAGTCTAGAATCTGGAAAATCAGGTTTGGGAGAAATCTGCTTTGGAATCCAAATATTCATTTCTGGTTGTGGATGATGAAAAAGTACCCAATGAAACAATCTAGGGACTTTTTTCATAGTATCATCACCACATAATGCTCTGAGTGATAAGAAGAAAAAAAAAATAAAATTTCTGATCTTTCAGGATCCAGCCCAGGATAAAAGAACAGGTATAGTTGTCATAATCTATATAGGAAAGTCCAGCAGACATAATTTTGAATGACTAATTGCTCTTATATACTGACTTTCTTGAGAGGAACCTAAATAAACAATAAAATGTAGAAGTCTCCAGTTAATATTGGCTTAGAAACCGAGTTTTCAGTTTTTTTCTCATTCAGACTGGTCTTTAACTGAAAATTATTAAGAGGAAAAAGGAAAGGCATAATAGGATTTTTTTCTTTAAGAAGCTGGGTGCTCTGAGCTGTATAATTTACCATCACAGTCTATTTGTTTACAATAGGATTAGCTGAAAAAGACAAAGTGCAGCCAGTGTTCCAGATCTGTAGATTATTCTAGTCACTAACTGTCAATTTGGGAAGTTTCATTTTTGTCTTGGGCAAGTTCTGCTCTACACCTCCTGGTATTTCCAAATCCTGCTGAATGATTTTAATTAACCTCTTGATGGACTAATTCCTAGGACAGTGATATAACTGAGGAATTAAGTTTCTGTATCAACAGGCAATAGTCTTGCTGTGATCCAAATTCATGAGAGTTTGTTACTGATTTCCATGGCAGTGGGATGAAGTTCAATGTCCATATATTCTGTAGGTAGGCTCCAGCTCTGCAAACAGACTCTCCTTTCCTGCACCCCACTACTCTCATGGTGAATTTGTTGTTAGAGAGCCAGTTATTAGGACATGAGCTGAATTGTCATTCAAATGGATTGCTAATACTTCTTGCTAGTTTTAATTTCTCTGTTGAAATTGCATTTCAGGCTGAGATGTAGGCTGGTCCCTCAGGGCACGATCCAAAGTCAGTTGTATCTGTAAGAAGAGGTCAAGTGAGTGAAACAGGTTTTGAATCAAAGGTTTCTATGGATTTTCCTGGAACAGATGGCCTCATTTAATGGGGAGAAGAGAGTGCACTGAGCCTAAAAGACAAGGCTGCTACCTCAGGGATGTGATCAAGTAGGCTATGGTTACTTTCAGCATGGGAAAGGTAAAATGCAAGGTAAAAAAGTTGGATGCTGCAGTGTTTGTTGTTTTCTCTGGAATGGGCAGTCAACTCTGACTTTGGAATTAGTAACCTAAATGACCTACACATCTAATAGAGTATCTAGCAGAAATGGTCTGGGTTTGTGGGATTTTTTCCCCCAGATAATTTCCCAAACTTCTGGATTTAAGTTCAGGATGAAACCACAAGCCCCATCAAACAAAAAGAACCTCCAAAACAAGCAGGACTTACCTTTCTTCTTTTCTCAACATAAATCAGGATACAATATGATCTCCCTTTCATAATACAAGTTCTGGCTAATGATTTGTCTCTTTGAACAAGCTGCTTCATACTCCTGGTGCACTGCAGTCTAGGTTTTCAGCAAATAAAACAACAGATGCCCTCTTAGTGGTTCCATTCATTGGATTCTTTCACTAATTCCTTATCTGAAGAACACCATCCCACTACAAGACTCCTAATAAAGAAACCTGTAAGCATTTTACAGCTTAATGGCCATGATTCCCTATCTGCCTCTCCCCAAGAAACAGTAAGCTTTGAATTGGCAGTGTAGCATTTTTACTACCATTTCTTCTGCAGCAATTTCTGCTCCCAACTCTTCTAAGTAAGGTTGAGAGGTCTATTTCACACTGAAAGTGGGAAAAGCTGTTTGTTTGTTAACTCTGGTGATGGGATTCAGTGTTTGTTGCTCTTACCTAGAGCCTTCCATCTGTTTCTGTTGAGGCCAATATCAACATTCTCTGGTTGTATCAGTTACATCACACACAGCACTGCCGTGACTGAAAACCCAGAGGCATAAAAAGGGCTCATTCTTCTCTGGTGTGGCATAAATCCTACTGACTTCGGGAACTTCTCTGCACTTCTCAGGATTGCACCTGCAGTTTAGCAAGAACAAAAAAAAAAATCTTTAAAAGATCATGTGAAACCCTGTTTACTGAAAGGCAATAGCTTATTTTCTAGCAAAGCAACGTTCATTGATCTAGTTGAAATTAACAGGTTTAATTTTGTCATCACTTTTTTTAAAAAAACAAGCCACTTTGACTTTCAGAAAAAAAAAATACAAAAAGAATATTTTACTACCTTCCAAACATTAGCTTTGATTTACTTTTGGAAGATAACGTGGTTGGTATGTTTTCTCAGGATAGCCTCTATCTATTTCTGTGTGTTGGTTTTAAATGTATCTGAATTAAAAGGGGTTTTAATCTCTGTCTCTTCTGTGAAATTAGATTGTACAAAACTAAATATGACTGCTCTTCATAGTTTGCTGTTCTAGCATAGCCATAAAATGTATCAATGTATGTGTATATATGAATAAATATTTGATGACAGACACTTTAGATTATATATTTAAGCAGCCATGTCAAAACTTCAGAGGTAGATGGCTTCAAAAGCAATGGTATAACCATAATACTCGCCAGTTATTTTGCAAAATCAAACCATGGCCTCAGCACAGATCTCATATCCTTACCAGCAGTCTGAAACCCACCTTTTCTTTAAAGACCCCTGCTAAGGTTTGTTTTGCCATTGCTTCTTTACCAAGAATAATGACAACTCCCTGTGGCTCAGTCTTATGGCTCATCTCCCAGAGAGCTGCCCTGGTGCTGCAGTGCCACAGGCTCTGGTTCCACCTCCATCGTGTGGCACTGGAGCTGCTCCTTCTGGGAGGCTGAACATTGCTCAGCCAGTGTCAGTGCTTCCCCCTGGGACTGCCTCACTCCCCAAAATTTGTTTTCTTCACCCAATATATCTCCCATACACGTCCCCACTGCATTTTCTTTTTGCCTGTTTATAACGGTACTGTAGGAATATCCATGGAATAAAAAGCTTACCGTAATGATTTGCAGTCCCAAGGGGAATTTACATGAGACGTGAAGTTGTTATTATTTACTGAAAAGTGGTGTTACCTTATTTTCTTTATTATTATGATCTTATTCCTATGATACTATGATGTTTCATGTAAATTTTCATGTGCTGGCATGCCTACAAGTTGATAGTGTAATAGAATGCTCAGCTCTCAACATTAGAGTGTTTTTAAGGTGAATTGCATCACATATGCCATCTCTTTGCAGAAAGAATATGGGGTTTGGCAAAACTACCTGCTGAGCAACATAATGAGATTTTTGTACAAAGTACAAGTTATTGATTATTATTGTATTTTATTTTTCTATGATTTCCTAAGAGGCATTATCAGGTCTTACAGATGGGGTAAGCCTGTTTATTAAGATATTTATTAGCAAATAAAAGTTACAGTACTGGTGGTTATTTTTGAGTTAATGGTGTTTGTTTGGCCTTAAGTTACTAATACAATGACCCACAGAGAAGCCTGTCATACATGATCATGCAAAAAAAAAAAAACAAAACAAACCAGCTGCTTAACACAGGGTGGTGTACTAATAAAGATGGACTGGCAATATGCTCCAACACTAGAGATGCTTGGGGTGGTGTTGTTTTCTTCAGCTAAAAAATGCTCTTCTGTGCTTACCACTGAGCATTTATGCTCCAAAAGCACGCACAGTTCACAGCATCAGGGAAAAGAACTCTGCACATTAAAAGGTGCAAACAGCCATGCTCTCTCCTTCTTGGGAAACACTATGAATCTGAATTTTAAATGGCTTTTAATGCGCTATTAAGATTCTGCAGTACTGTTCACCCTCCTCATAGTGATTCACTGAGCCATGCAATTCCTCCTCTAGTATTTGTCAAAGCTTTCACTGACAAAAGCAGTTTTAAAACTGATCATATTATGTAAATAATGCCGGGGCAACGCAGGACAATTCACAAAGAAGTGAATGCCATATACAATAATCAGACCCTACCTCAAAAAGCTTAAAGTTATAATGAGCCTTTCATTGCATAAAATCATATGCATGCAATGCAAGACTGAACAGAAGTAGCTGTAGAGCAATAGGAAATGAGTGTCAGATGCCCACAGTCCATTACATCCTGCTTATTTTTCATGGGAACAGCGTTCTCACCAAGGACTGTCAGGTTTAACACAGTGTACATAATGAAGAATGAATATTTCATTTTAGATCTGGTTACAGAAATGCCTTTGCCATTCAGTGTTCTTCCCTGAATTCAGAACTACTCCGCAGATGTGGACTGATTTCAAATAGAAACACCCTCCTCTACCATATATATATATATATATATATATATATCTCACAGCTTGGAAAGTGCTTCATCACAGAGTTTCACTGTGGGATTAATGCTACCTGCCTTGTCCTTTAGTGGCTCATAATGCCACTACAAGGGAATCTCATCTTTTAGTTAGGAACCTTCCTGATACAGGAAATACAGCAGACCTCGAACTACTCTGATGGGACTATGCAGGAAAAAAAAAAATAAAAATCCGAAGTGTATTTGCAGCCTCTGTGCCTGGCCTGGCTGCCTTCCTCCCAAAGTTCTGCTGCTGCCACTGTCCCAGTGATGCGTGGAATTGAGTGGATTTTGCGATTTTCCCTACTCCGCCACAGCGCCCGCTTCGGAAGGGGCTGTGCTGCCCACACCTCGAGTGGCCGTTCTTACTTAGCGGTTTCTTTCTGCATTAATCACAATCCTCACGAGGATTTATCCGGGCACTCTCAAGGAAGAGGAGCGGTGGCCGAACCAAACAATTCCACGGGCGCAGCACACGGACCATGAACGGAGCGCCCCTCAGCCCCACGGCGCCGGGGGCGTGGCTTAGAGCAGGCCCCGCCCCAGCGCCCCCCGGCGATTGGCCGGAAGAGGCGGGGAGGGACGGGATTGGTGGGACGGGAAGGGGGCGGGGCCTCGGTTTCCTCGGCAACGGCGGCGGCGGCGGCGGCGGGCCCGGCCGGAGCCTCCCGGGCCCAGGTCGGTGCTGCGGCCGCGGGGACGCGCCCGGGGAGGGGGGGATCCTGTGCCGGCTTTCCCGAGGGATCCTTCCTGGCCTGGGCCTGGGAGAAGGGACCCGCGGCCGCTGCCGAGGCTGCTGGAGGCCTTGCTGTGCTGAGGGGAGGGAGGGAGGGAAGGCCGGCCCTGGGAGTGCGATCCGCAGCAGCCAGGCCTTGTCCCGAATTGGGGCCTTACACCCGGTGTGCCACAGGCCGAGCTACGCGCAGAGCCGACGTGTTCGATTTGTTTGTGGTTCTGCGCAGAAAGGGGCGCTGGGCGGCGAATCCACCAAGCCAGCACGGCGGCTATCAAAGCTTTTCACTCTTCATACATTTCAGCAAACAAAGGTGTTAGCGTTCACTGACTGCAAGTCACCTAGTTCTCTGGTTAATTAGTGTCCTGTCTTCTGTTGGCTAATGATTCTCTCGCTTCCCATGCTAATTAGTCCGTATGCTTAATCTTTCCCTTTTGGATCTTAGACCACTGAAATATGTCCATCCCTAAACCTAAACAAAGCAATTCCACCGAAGAAATTAATTTGTCTAACACCTGGACATCACTTAGAGCTTGTTTGTTGGCTGCTCTCTATTTCATGGATTAAATCTCCTTTGTTGCTGATTAGGCGTGAAAATAGACAAAGATCAGACATGAAAGAACATCCTTTCTTAAGAAAAAAGCTTCTAGAGTTTGCTGTTAACCTCCCGGACCAGACTCTGGCTTAAATAATTTTTGGAGGTATCTGATGTATGCTGCATAGCATTGCAGGCAAAATATCAGCTGGCAAAACAGAGGGGGGGAAAAAAGGCACCTGTGGCAGCCATAAATGGTGTAATTGTTCACAGATCAGAAAAAACATGAAAATAGGGGCAGGGCAAGAAATCACGAGTACATTTCTAAACGTGGCTCTCATTAAAATGTTGCTAGGAACTGTTGTGTGTTTAGGGTTTTGGGGTTAAAAGTGAAGCCCTAGAAGTAATTTTAAGGGCTTGTATTTCCTTTTATTTTAGGAGTGCCTACAATGCAGTTTTTTGACCCTGTCATCTAGAATATATAGATTAAGCTCTTAATTGGATAAGAAAGCAATGTGTAAAATTGGAGCAAGGTTTTTTTCAATTTGATAATAAACAGCTTTAATCTTCTCTCAGAATTGTATATTATAAATTAGAAAATAAGTGGGCCATAAAATGAAGGGGAGTTAGAATGAGAGACTTGCTATAACTGAAGTTGGAGTTTTTTAACCTGGTAATAACTCTGTGTAGGTGTAATGTAGATCACAGCCAGTCCTGAATCAAAATCCACCAGATAATGCTCTAAAAAGATCTGTACTTAAAAAGGAAAAATCATCCTTTAGCCCGAATGATTACTTATGTGACTTTATTACATTCATTTTTATTAGAAAGCAGTTAATCATCATTTTGTAATCAGTTAGTGAAGAACTGAGACCAAAGGTTTGTTATTGATGGGGTTTTTTTCACCTTTTCCCCTTCCTGCTGTGATTTCCTGGCATAATTAAGCTTGCAACCTGAGTTGCGAGTCTGAGTCCAGCGCTGTGTATTTTTGTTTTAACAAGAAAAAAAACCAGCCCTCACCACTTCAGAAATCTTCTGACATGACTTAAATAGTTTATTATTCAGGGCCTCTCAGAGGTTTGTGTGACTGCTGAAATTATTTCTAGTGGAATTCATTCAGGCCAGACCAGGGTTATCCTCTTTGCAGAGTGCTTTTAGCCAGGTATTGCAGGGGAGGGAGCACGTGATGTAAGCGCCTTTGCATGTGCCACTGCCAGGTAACTGCAGCCAGAGTCTGGGCAGCAGCAGGGGTTTGGCATCTCTCTGACATGTGGGTGAATGTCTGGGTGTCTGTTAGATCTATTTTAATCAGTTTCTATTTGTGGTGAATGAAGAGGTCCTAATTTATACACGTCGATATTGGCAAAACCTGTTAGAATTAGAGTTTGAATTGAATCAACAGAGAGTGCTTTATTTAATGCAGGGTTCAGTAAATTATGTAGCAGGTGCTGAAGAAGGGAAATACTGTTTTGTTGTCAGAATGATGGAGTGCTGACAATTTGAGTTAAAGATACTGGCCCTCCTTTTGGTGTTGCTTAGTTTGGTGGCACTGCAGTTGTGCCCCTGTTTGGGCTGCTCAGAACAAAGGCAGAATTCCTGCCCGGTGAATCTAGGGTGATACAGACAGGGCTATAAACAGCCAGTCTACTTTGGTATCCAGGCCTCCTGGCTGTAATCAGCTTACCCTCCTTGTGCTTATGTGCAGAGCCAGCCCCTGGGACAGTGTTTGTGTAGGGTCCTGCTCACACCATCCTCTGCCAGGTGTGAGGCTGCTCAGCCCCATGCCCACCCTCAGTGCCAGCACTGCCCTGCATGTAGCACTTGTCCCACAGCTCTGATTCCCTGACCAACAGGTGATCCCTGGGATTTCCAGCCACAGCCATGGGATTGTTTGACAAGCTGGCAGGATGGCTTGGGCTGAAGAAAAAGGAGGTTCACGTCTTGTGCCTTGGCTTGGACAACAGCGGCAAAACAACGATCATCAATAAACTGAAACCTTCAAATGTAAGTAGCCTGCTTGGTTCACTGCTGGGTGTTGGTCTGATCTGGGTTTGCATGCTGTTATGCTGGATGTGCCCGTGGAAAATATGTGAAGAGCTTGTGATTTAGATTTTTAATATTTTAGGATTTTCCAACTAACTAAAACTAAGGGTAAGCATTCACACACACATTATTTTCCAAAAAAAACCCCACTGTTAATGTGGCACAGTTTTGTTAAGATCACTCAACAAGGAAGGGTTTATGATGGCTGAAATCACGATCTGAAACAGTCACTTAAATCACTTAAATAATTGCCACAGGATTGCAGTTACAAGTGATGTTGAACATTTAGGATTAATACAATTGTACAAGAGTTTACCATGTTTATTATTTTAATCTCTTCCTGAAAAATAATAAGTGCATAAGAGATAACAAAATAAGAAATAGGAGGAAGATGCACATTTAAGGGTGACTTCATTATTTTTAAACAGAATCATTTTCAAAATAAGTACCATTAATACTTGCAGTTCATTCATCCAGTGAAAAGTGTTTGAGGCCAGTAGGAATGCATAGTATTCTAAGCAAAAATGAAAGTAGGATCATCTTGTTTCTAGATATGTTTATGGACTAGAAATAGATGAATTTTGGTAGGCATGTTCAAAGCCAAAGGTTGTGCATTTTGTTTATGTGCATGTGGGAAACTGATTTCTGGTGTTTATATCAGGGCACAGCTTATTGTTAGTATTAATTTTCATTGAATTTTACTGATGAGTCCACTGGACATTGTTTAAAAGTGTGACATAGTGAAGAGTCTGCTACTCTTCCATTCCTGGCAATTATTCTTCCCCTGAAAATCAAGTAGATTTATAAACAAAGAGTATAAACTGCTTGCTATCTGCTGCCAGTTGTTTGGGAGAAATTTTACCATGGAAACAATTTGTACCAGGGAAATTGTGTATTTATGTAATTATTGAGACCTTTTTTGTAGAGCGTTTTTATGTCATGTCTTAAAGCAGTAAAGGATTCCTAACCAGAGTTGAACACGGACTTGAAGATTTATCACAATAATGGGCATTAGAGAAGCTCTCAGGGGAATTACACAGAGTAGAATTCTCAGAGTAGAATAAATAGAAGTTGTTTGTAATGAGAATTTATAGGAGGATAACTTTGCATCCAACTTGTATAAATCCTACCCTTGCAAGAGATGCCAAATAGTCTAGCATGCAACAAGTGTCATTAGATCAAAGTTAATAAGACTGTTTATTTTTAGTAAGTTCAATGGACAGGTGATTTTGAGCTCTGGGTCAACCCAGTGTTCTTAAGAACTGCAGCTTTGCCCCAGGAGAAGTATATTAGGAATGTTTTTCCATCTGTCTGCAGTTGTTTCTGCTTGACCTGCCTGTGGATGGTGTTTGGAATAAGGGGCTCTAGGAGTCTGTGCAAGGATTGCATGTCACTTTCTCAGACATCTCTGTGATCTATGGGATGTGACCTGTCTTCCTGCTCAATATTGATGCTTCTTAGAGGAGCTATTCTTTTCCACCAACTTAGCTGATAGGTTCCTTGACCAGCTCAGTAGTAAATCAGTTACCAGACAGATCTCTTAATAATGCTTTTTGTTTTGGCAATTCCAGCAGTGTTTACTCTATTCCCCAGAAAGTACAAAATCCTTGATTCTGAATTACTTTACTTTTCTGGGAAATTTTTAATATTGCACAGTTTGGGGCAAAAATAGATCTGTAATGTATTCATCTTTCAATATATTTCATTATTTGCATTTTCTATTTTGATTGTAAAATTTCTGCTTTCTTTCCTTCAAAGGCTCAAACTCAGGACATCGTTCCAACAATAGGATTCAGTATAGAGAAATTCAAAACTTCAAGGTAGTACTTTTTCTTCATTAGCAGTAGTGATTATTATACAATTGTTGGACTTAATTATCTCTTTCAGTGGGTTTGTAACTGAGTATCATGTGTGGAGGTGTTATGACATGACATGGCAGTTTGTTGAAATGTAGTACCCATGAGACCTAATCATGATCCAGGACTTAGTGTGTTAGAATATAATGTGTGTTTTGTGCTGCTATAAAACTTTTTTTTAAATTTCTTTTAGTTTTTTTGCAGTAGCATGTGTAAACATCTGATCCCTGTCTGTTGAGAGTTTCAGAATAGGGCACTGTTACAGACTGGAGGAGAGACAGCTGCTGAGGTGGCAGCCCATATTCCACTCTCAATCTGGTAACCTAAATTAAGCACTCTCACTGGAGGTACTCTGAACAGATTGCAGTGTAATCTCATTAAATGCAAAAGGATGGCTACAGCATTAGCAATGTAAAGGTGGCAGGAGCAAAGGCCAGGAAACAGAGTAATAAGTCATTAGTTGAATGAGGACTAAGATTTAGATTAAGAATGTCGTGATACCAGGGTGTTTCAAGGAGGCAGCATCATTTTGTTCTGTAGCCTTCACTGGATGTTTTCAGTGTGTGCAGTTCATCTTCAAAGCAAGCAGTGTGGCCTCACTGGGTGGGAGATCTGCAAGAAAATTGTTTATTCTTTGAGCTGAGAAAATTGTTTATTCCTTGAGGTCATATGTGAGACTGTGAGGTTTCATATTTCTCTAAAAGTTTCCACAACTGAGCTCTTTCTCAATAGAGTACATCAGACAGGTTTGGGGCTTCCTGTGTGAGAATGTAAATTAATTTATATTGCTTTTTTTTTATTCTGATCCTGTAGTAGGAGAGATGATAACCTGTAAATACACCCTAAAAAGCCCACCCAAAACCTCAAACTCTACAAACTTATGAACCCACAACTCTATGTCTGGTCACAGAGTGGAAAGAATGTCTGGAGAACTTCCTTTTCTTAACCTCCTTGTTTTGGTGTGGCCTCCACTCAGGAGCTACTTGGGACTACCCAAAAAAGGAGAACCTAATTCTGAACTCAGTGTTGCCTCTGTAAACATTTCAGCAGCAGATGAGAACTTTTTGTAGTGTTTAGTAAGTTGCTTTGCTGTATGTAGTGTTTGGGTGAAATGTGTCAGTTGCAAAGACTGTTCTTTGTAGCCTGGTCATCTGAACTCACCTGTTTTTACCAAAATCTCTTTTTTTCCTAAAAGTGGAATTTATTTAATTTTTTTACAGCCTTTTATTTTGCATATATTTATACCTAGGGATGGAATCTAAGACAGGTGATGGATTTTAAGTCATATTGCCTCTGTATTTCATTTACTAATAAACAATATTTGATACCAGCATGATAGACAGACCGAAAGGGAGCTTATTTTGTATTTGATGTAACTTTAAATAATTGGTTTAGTTCTTTTATTCAGAAAATAAACACATTTTCCAATGTGAAATATTTCTATAATAAGACTGCAAAACTGAGTAGGATAATTTGAAGGCAGATAGTGCAACCAGAGTTCCTTGGGGAATTTTTCTGTTGAATGGGATTCCAATTGATCTGGCTGTTTTTTTGGTCACGGTAGCAAAGGAAATGGATGTGGTTTGGGTTTTGTTCTTTTTTCTGGGCCTCATGCACTTCTTTTCTTTGCAGTTTGTCTTTCACAGTGTTTGATATGTCAGGTCAAGGGAAATACAGAGACCTGTGGGAGCACTACTACAAGTAAGCCTATAATTTATTTTAAAGCATTGCTGTCCATATTAACTGTTGTGTAGGTTATTTAAACAGAAGTATGATAATATCTAGTAGTTAGAAATGATTCAGAGAAGGCTTATACCTGGAGTTTGACAGAAAGAAGGTTTATTCTGGATAAATAAAACTTTCTGTTCTAACAAATGAAAATGTCTATCTACTGTTATTCTGTGCTTTCGGGGACAACTTGGGGACATACTAGAGATGAGATTTAAATGTTGAAACCTCAAAACCAATCCTGAAAGATTGATAAGAAAGCTCAAGATGAGTTAGGTTTCCAATTTTTCAGTTCTTCTGTAGGTCAATGATTTAAAATCTTCAAGATTGGCTGATGGCTGAGAATTTGAGAGGTGAGGGAAATGAACCTCAGAGAATAAGGCATATGTAACTAAGAATCTCATTCTTAATGTTATTTATTAAACAGGATATTCTCTGTACTTTATAACACTCTGGTATTGCCTTTTGGTAATAGATGGGCACCATTCTCTGGTTTTGGAGCTTTTAGTGAAACTTAATATCTTTATTTGCATTGTCTCATTGATGTTCTGTAATGCCTGATTCTGATCTAGATAACATGAACAATACTAAACCATGCAGAAGTAGCTTGGAGAAATAGAAGGGAGAAATTCTGAAGATTATAATATCGATTAAATATTAATATCAGCTGTGGTAGAGCTTAAATTGTTTTTTAATTGAGGATTAATGCTTCCTCTCCTTCCTGTGCAAATCATGTTAGCATTGAAAACATTTGGCCAAATCTTCATTGTTCAAGAGTGTTAGATATGCATTTCAGTAACTGATGCCCTCAGGCTGCTCTCAAAATGCTAGCAGAGTGCTTCATAAGCAAATAATTTTTGTGATTGTTGTATTTAATGTAGTAACTTATTCCTTATGGGGCATAAATGGCTTTTTCATCTTAACAACAACTCCCTGACAGTAAGGGAGTTTTCTAGGTTATGCAGGCAGTGAAATACACACTTGAATCCACCTCTGGTCCTGATCCAGTGCAGTAGGCATATATATTAGGGATTAACTTCTAAGAATATTATAAAACCAATAATTAGTATTAATTAAATAAAAGTATTACTAAAATAATTATTTGCTGTTCAGTTGATAAAGTTAAGCAAGATTTAATTTTGCAGGAAATTAACTCTGGGCAAGTGTCAAAGTAGTTGCCCTGGAGTCCTTCAAGTCTGGACTTTTCTTCTATTTAGTTTGAAAGTATCTTCTAGGTCATCCTTTAAGTACATTCATCTTGAACAATCCCAAAGTCGTGTTGTGTCCCTGTTACTTCTTAATGAAGTTATTTCTTTGATGGTAAATACATGCCAGTACTCTTAATTCCTCTGGTAAAATACTCTATGCTCATGAAAATTGCTTAAGCATTTTCAGCTAATATGCAAAAGCTTTATTTACTAAAGGTTCTGTACACCAGAACAGAATGGGCTTCTTCATACAATTTTGGGCTGCTCAGGTTATTTCTGGTTTCCAGCAGGTATAGAACTGTTTCTTATCAAAATACAAAGATAGATGGTGCTGGAGTGTAAAGAATGTGTTCATAATGGTCTCTCAGAGAAATGTGAAATGAAGGAGAAGTGAATATTACATTAAAATATAAAGTAAATACACTTTCTGTGGGTGTTACTAACAGGTGAACTACGAATTGGTGAGACTTTATTTGATTTTCAAAACAAGTTTCAATAAATGGAACATCAAGTCATAAAATACCAGTGACATCCTGAAATAATGAATTGAGTAGTTGCATATATGTTGTGACTGTGGTCATACTACCAGCAAAATGTCCTAATGATTTGAAATAGTTGAAAGCTTTTACCTGTTATTTAAAAAAAAAAAAAGAAAGATCCTGTTTATGCAGGATTTGTAAAGGTTAAAATAATCTACGTATGCCTAGCTGTGGACACAGGTTTTTTCTAAAAAGATATTTGACCTTTCTCTAAATAAATTTTAGTACTGGAAATACAGAATTTCCATAAAGATATGTCTTCATGGGTTTTTTTCCTGCCTGACCACAATGTCAGAAGAGCAGATGGTTACATTTTGAGTTCATTTTTCAGTCTGGGTAGTAAAATCAAGCTTTTCTAGAAGGTGTGTGGAGACTGAACCTTGTAGGGGCAGGTAACAACCTCATGTCTAAAAAAATGATGCATGTTACCAAAAGATTGAATTTCAGAAATAAGATTGGATTCAAATGTTAATGGTAAATAGCAATGACAAAAATTAGAGGAAAAATCTGGTTTGTTTGGACTTTTTTCTTGGTGTTTCTTCTGAATCCTTTTCTTATTCACAGTTTGAGAACCTATAATTTGCCTCTTTGCTCTTTTTATGTTATGCAGAGATGGCCAAGCCATAATTTTTGTCATTGATAGCAGTGACAAATTAAGAATGGTTGTAGCCAAAGAAGAACTTGACACCCTTCTGAATCATCCAGGTGAGGAGGCTTTTTTCCCCTTCTGTGTCCATATTTGTTATGTTGTCTTAAGAAAAGCCCTTATCTGACACATTCTGAGTAATTTGCAAGTATTTTAACCATTCATTAATTTTAGCACAATAATAATCTTCCAAAACTTGTGGGGCTTTTTTTTAGCTGTTCACATTTAGAAATTGGTCACACTTCAGCTTTCTACACTGAGTTGGGTTGGTCTCTTATTAATCAAGATAGATCAAAAGTTACATTGTTTTGAGAAAGAATTCCAACTTGGAGTTGGAAACTAGAGAGGCTTCCTGTGATGACCAGTACAGACAAAACTGTGTCTTCCTGTCTGATTTTTTTATGAAAACAGCTAATTCCTTTAATGTAGCATTTAACTTTCTTTTGTCATCATTATAATTTTTTATGCTTTAGCCAAAGATAAGGAGGGATAATTACACCAGTTGGTTTCAATTGCCTCTGGAAGAGGATATGAGAGGATTCATGATCAGGGTCTTGGTTTTAGGGGTTTGGTTTGGGTGGTTTTTTACATGAGACTGCACTTTAATTAAGTTCTGATATCAGTCAATTCTTTGCCTTTCCATGTGTCCAACATTACTGGGATGTGTGTGTAAGCAGTGTGCAATTTTGACTTCCAGCAGTTTTGGTAGTTGCTCTTCCTAACCAGAATATAAAACTACATCTAGGAAGTTTAAAAGTGAAATAATCTTGTGATTGCTTAATTATTTATTGAACTGATAGAGCCTTAACTTGTGGGATTCCCATGCTGAAAATAAGAAAGGGAAAGCTGACTTGCATTTCTAAGAAAGGCAATGTATGATAGGGACAAATATGTTCCCAGGACTTTGTTTTCCATGAAGACTGTATATAACACTTTAATTCATCAACAAAGGTGTTGGAGCTGACTGAGACTTCTTATATTCTCATTCTCTAATTTCTCATTCAGGGGTGTGGGCTACTTCAAATGCAGGCACTGCAAAGAGAGTGTTACAAAAGTCACAGGGAGGATGAGGTGAGCCAAAGGCTGCAGGTGGATTAAACAGAGGCCAGGGCACTTCGTACCAATCAGGAATTATCTGCAGCAGTAAAAGCCAATTCTGTTGGCTTTTCATGCAGGCCCAAGGATAAGAAGTGAAGCTGCTGGAAGAAGTCACTGGTTTAATAGGGGGCAGAAGAGTGAAAATGTTTAGACAGAGTAGAAGCAACTTTAGGTGGGGCTTTTCATGTAGGCATTGATAGGTCACTGATGCTGACCTAGCAGGTCAGTGCTGTTCAGTTGTTCATGAATTTGTGTCTTCAAGTTACACAAGACCAGGCTCTGGCCACTGAGTGCAGCCCTGAGAGTCAAGAGAGAACACTTGAGGATTTCTGCCTTAGAATGAATTAGCTCTAACACAGCAGCAGTGCCACTGATTGATCAGTTTTGATATATCACATCTAAGAGAACCAAAGAGCTTAGAAAGTTCTTCTAGGATAATGTTCAATAAAAGTAGCAGTTAGGTGAATCAATATACAACTGGTTTGCTGTATCAATATTTTTATTTGTGTTAGTGTTCTGCCTTTCTTGCTGCACACCTTGCTTTATCTCAGTCTGTGCTTCTGTCTGTGTCATCCTCCTGGAGAGATTTAAATGTACGTGTTTACATAAGTTTTAAATGGAATTGAATCAGTTCTTGTTTCTGAAAATCTTAGCAATCCCGCAGTAAAACACTTCCCTGTCTTTTTGACAGACTTTGCCTGAGGGAAAGGGAAGGGAATGTGTCCTGTGAAACATTAATGAGGTTAGAAGTTGTACTAGCTGGGATTCTTTTGTGAATCCGAGCTATAAATTGTTTTTAGTTACATTAATGGACAATGCACTCTTCAAATAACAGCTTGTTTAATGATAACTGTATCATATTTTGATTTTTTACTCAAATTTCATTCTTCAGCACTTTGCAAGATGGTAGCAATAGATTACCTGAATTAGATGATGACTCTTGGGTCACTTCACCTCCAGCACATGCTTCGAAACTAAACTGAAATTCTTGTAATCTTGAAATTCTTTGTGCAAAATTGCACACCACACATCTGCAATTGCACAGTATCTGCAATATTTTTAATGTGTTAATTCATAACGACTTGCAGCTAGAAAATGTTTGCTTTCCATTAGTAACTATGAAAAGAGTGGGAGGGAAATACTACCCATTAGGAAATCATATACATTTCTGTGACCTCGACTTTATTTAGCATATATCTTTGGGTGTGCATTATAAATCTGGATGGGTAGGTTGTGTCCCTTTCTAATTGTTTAGGAAAACACTGGAAACTCTTTGATTAACTTGGCTGTTTGCATATGTGATGTCAGTTAATTTATTTTTTATTTCAAATTATTTTTTAATTTACCCATAACCTGCAACCTGTGGGTACCAGGGTTCATTTAATTATACTGTAAATTAATGTAAAATCTTCGGTCAGGAGACTCAATTGCTGTTCAACTATGAAATCAAAACAGAGATTTAATTATACTGTGCTTATATTTTGAGGCCTTTGACTTGTGTTTATGGATATCAGAGGACGAAAGAGCTCCAGGTAGGGTAAATAGTTTGTGAAAATTATAAGTGTTTTGATCATCTCTGAATGAATATGGGGAAGTAGTGTTATCTCAACTGTGGAAAGGTTTAGTAGGGAGGTGGAAAAGAGCATAATTAGAAAAGTTCAAACCATTTCAGCACTGACAGTTTGTTGGGATTTTGGGGGTTTTTATCATCTCCCTGCCCATCAGCAGGTGTGGATGGCTTATATTTGACATTTTAAAATAAATCCTTACCTAGTTTCTTGTGAGAAATACCCTTTTCTTTTTACTATTTTAAAAAGAGCCTGTGTAGCAATTTTCATTTGTAGTGTGTAAATTCTTTTCCTATCAAGCACTGATGGATAGACTAAAACCTAGATTTTCTCTAATCCTGTATATCATCCTTTGTATAAAGAATATGAAAAACTCAGAGTTAGTCTTGGTGCTGGTAATATTTTGGCAGTATTATATGTGTAACTTTGAAGAGAGTATACTTTGCCTCCTTTCAATCACCATATAATCTTTTGGGATAATCTGGGATGTTTAAGTTTGTCTATGTGTAAGTATCCCAGAAACTACCAGAATACTTTATTTGGTCTGTAATTCTCACTGCTAGCTGAAAAAGCTTCTGGAGAAGACCTTCAAGGGAAGGGAGAATAAAGGATGTCCAGACACGTGCAGTGTTTTCCAATGTTATAATTTCCATGAAGTAATGAATGCTTTCCACGACACTAAGGATATTTCAGACTACCCTTCTCAACTGTTGTTGTTCATTATGAATGACCACAAATTATTTTTTCCATCCATTTTATACATCAGTCCTCACTAAGCAGAGATGTGCAGTGTTTGTAGGCAGTGGTTTGATCTCCTGTTCCTCAGCTTCACCAGCAATTCCTATCTCCAGCTTGAAGTGTGGATATAAAGTAGGGGGAGAGGGGGTGCAAAATTCCAAAGCCTGCAAGGAAGTTTGTGAGAATTCTGGAAGCGTGCAGCAGAGGCCAGGTGACCCAAGAGTGTGTATGCATCTTGGTGGGGTACAACCTTGAGAGAATTGCAGCTACAGGCAAGCAGAATCCCTTCCTGTGCTGTTTGTGCCTTGTCACATGCAGAGATGAATGAGTGCTGCCTCATGTCCTGAGTGCTCTGTCTCTGCTCATGCCTAGATATCAAGCACCGTCGACTGCCTATTCTCTTCTTTGCTAACAAGATGGACCTCAGGGATGCAGTGTCATCTGTGAAAGTGTCTCAGCTGCTGTCCTTAGAAAACATCAAAGACAAGCCTTGGCATATCTGGTAAAGTTCTCTTTTCTGTCCTTTTATTGGCATTATTTTGTGCATTCCTGTTTTAGCCCTGTTGTGCCACTCATAACTGTATAAAATAAATGGAGTAGATAAAAGATTCCACGTGTGAAACAGTAGTAATATTAAAATATTTGTGGTGAAACTTAATATAAATGTCTGATACATTCATTCAGGCTGTTTCTTTAAAGTTTTCACAGCAGAACTGTTAGCCAAGTAATGGAATGGGGGGGGTTTCCAGTGAAATCAGAAAGCAAGGTTGGTATCAGAAGAACAGTTGCTATTATATTTTGCTGGGAAATTAAGTAGAATCGTTATCAGAGTGCTCTTGCTAGAGTACCTTGCAGGTTTGAAAATATCCATAATAAAACTTTTGGAGTTTTTTTCCACTCTGCAGATGCTTCAGTAAACTGTTGTTGAAAGGCCATTTAGTAAACTGTTGGGTTCTGTATTCAGAGGGACGCTGTACTCTTTGTACCCAGTCATGTTTGAGGGAATTTTTAGTTGTAGGAGCTAGCCTTTTCTTCCTGAAGTATGTAATCTTTACTTAATGCTGATGTTCACAAGGAAAAAACTCTCCTTCTATCAGAAGTGCTTTACAGAAGTTGTTTTTTTGTCCTATTAAAATCCTCAGCTATTATAAATAAAAATGAAATCCTACAATTTTCATTTTAGGCACTTTAATGTTAAACTTGATTACCTGAACATTGTTTTTCTCCAGAAATCACACTCATGAATTCCCAAGCTTCTTGGAAGATCATTTTATAGGGAACTGCAATTATAGACCAGATTCACTGCTGTGCTGGTTTTCATGAATTGAAGAATGAAGAGCGTTTAAACAGTTATCCCCCAGTGATTCAGAAGCTAGATTTGCTCTGCTGTCAGTGTAGCAGAATAGTTTTATACATTAACAGACACTCCTGGGGTTGCTGTTTCAATGAAGTGTGTACACACACACATAATTCCCCTTTCCCAGTACTCCAGCATTCTCAGTGTGTGGGAACTGTGTGGAGGACATTTGGGTTTGATCATCTTAAAGGTCTTTGGCAGCCTAAATGATTCCATGATTCATGGCTGCTGTTGGAGGCAGTAAACATCTTTCCCAGTGTGTCTGAGGAGGGAGGTGCTGCAGAACAATGTGTTTGCCTTGTGTGGGAAATCTCCCAGAGCACCTCATGTTCTAGGAATGATTCCCTGTGCCTTGAAACTGGAATTAAAATAGATCACATCATGAAATGATATTTCCCTATGGGGAAGGTACCCTATATCATTTGAGGAGCAGTCTTCTCCATGGGAGGAAAACTGAAGGAAACTGTACCTGATGCTACTTGGCAATTATGTAAATTACAAGTTTGGTGATGACTCAACTAAAACTGGTATTTTTACAGTGTTTTTGAAATTTGATTTGTTTCTTTCAGTGCCAGTGATGCTCTTAAAGGAGAAGGATTACAAGAAGGTGTGGATTGGCTCCAAGGTATATCATATGTAATTCTCTTGGTCTATTTTTATTCTGTTAAACTCTTTCATTTTGTAAGGTTTTTTCTTTATTATTTCCTCTGTTTTCATTTCTGCTGTCAGATCAAATTACACAGTGAGTACTAAAGCTCTATCTCATATTTGCCTTCCGTTTACCTCCTTAATATGCACAAAACATCATGTGGGCTTCCCTGAGCAAAGTGTGTATTATGAAATACTAATGCACATTCTTGTAAACAGTGAAGCACTTTCATTTAAACAATACCAGCTCCCACACTTCAATTTCTTATTGTGGTAGTTCAGTTTTTTCGTTAATTTATTCTTAATGTCCTGTCCCTGATTGACATAACTTAATCTTATGTATCAAGAAATGGTGAAAGAAAATAAGCCAAGTACACAGACAAATACACTGGTTTTAATTATACACCTTCAGCTCTTTAATCCAGAGCCAAAAGAAGAACTTCTTACACTATAGCGATTATAGGACATGCAGACACTCATAACTGCACGGCAAATATCAGATCCAGCTTGGATAATGTCTGACATCCAGCATTTCTAATTACAAACTCGGTACAGATGTTGTGTCTCCTCCTGTTGTGTGTTGGTAAGGCTCTGGTCTCTCTTGTCCTCCTGCTCAGTGTTTAGGTTAGTGAAGTGTGGCATAGTTTTGGCAGACTGATCCCGGTTTTAGCTCCCTGACTGGCGTTGCTTGTGCTGTGCAGTGCTTCGGGCGGTGCGGGCTGAGTTGCGCTGCAGCTCCCGCCTGTGCTGTGCCCCGCTGGCCGCCGGGTGTCAGCGCTGGCCCGGGGACAGAGCCTCCTTCCAAAAGGGTGACAGCCAGCCCTGGCCCCGGTTAACTCATCCCCGCTGCTCTGGGGACACCACATGTCCTTTCTGCTTAGACTCGTCCTGCTGACTAGAAAAAGATGGTTTGTTTTACCGAGTTATTGTAGAGTACAAAAACATTCGGGCATGTTTTCAGAGGGAGGGCTGCTCGCCAAAAATAGTCTTTAGAAAGAGATTTACTGCCCTACAGAAGAGCAGTGATGTATGCTCCACCAGCTAAAATAATTCTGGGGTGGGGAACCAGGATCTTGGCATTGGGTTTCCTCCTCTCCTGTATCCTATCATCATAGAGGCAGATTCCAAATCATAATTTTTCCTAATTTCAGGCATAGTTCTGGTTTAGTAATGTTTTCTTGCTATGTTTAGGGTCTCTGTTTTTCATGGAGGAACCTTTCGAGTGTCAGTCCCAATTTCATGCTACTTAAAATCTCAAATGCTTGTGTAAATATTTTCTGGCAAAATATTTGAGTTACATATGTAGATTTTTTTAAAGCACAGCAAGCAGATGCTTCTGCTGTCACTCACATAGCTCTTCATAACTATTCACTTCTTATGGAGTGGTAAACTTCTTAATTTTCTGGGCTGAAAATCCTCATGGATGGGCTCTATCTGAAAATTTCTTTCAACTCCCTGGGTCAATGAACCCAAAAAGCTTAAGAGGGGTTGAGTTTAAACTGTACTATTACCTAAGCACCTGTGTTTTGGCAATTACATGTTTAAAGGCTGAGTACTTTGATATTTCAAGGAAAAATTTTTACTCTTGATTCTCCTCATTCCTAGAGCACTAGATGGAAATATTTGGAACAACTCTGTAGCTATGGTAGTCCCTAAATCACAGCCTGGGGATGCCATAAAATTCAGGGGAGGAAATGACACCTGGAGAATGAATGCACAGTTCTTGTCAGCAGCCAAGCTTTCCTTAGTTACCCTTTCCAGACCCATTTCACAGTGGGGGTGGCAGAGGCAGAAAGTTTTGTGGGGCTTTTTTTCCCCTAGGGAAGGCTGAGTTTGCTATTTTCCTATTTTGTCATGGGGTTGCTTTTGCAACAGCACATCCTCCAAAGGATCAAACAAACCTGTCTCACAGCATTCCCCCTTAGTGGGGAAATTTATGCTGATTTCCACATTTTGTAATGGGATGCTGGATGCTTTGGGTAACCAAGAAAACATTTGAAGTGAGTTGAGAAGTGGCAATCAGGCAGCAGTAGGGAGAAGTGTGGCTACTGAGAACAAAGTTTTCATGTGAGTTATTTGAAACCAAACTTTAAATCTTTTGCTCTTGGGTGGTTCATGTTCAGTTAAGTGGAAGCCAAAATGTGTACAAGGAATTGAAATGCATGTAATTCATAACACAAACTTCCAGGTCTTATTGTCATTAAAGTGATCTTATAAGCCTGAAGAAGATAAAAATTGAATTAGAAGGAAGAGTCTTCCTGTTTAATTAGCAAGATTTGGTGAAAACAACTTGGCTGCACAGGAATCTCAGAAGTGGATAAGAGAGCAAGGTGAAAATAACTCTGCTGTGTCCCTCATTCTTGTAACTGCACCAAAATATCTAGATCTATTTTATGTTTTCAAAAAGCAAAATGCAGCGAGAATTCATCTTGTGCTAAGACTAGATCTTTCTTTTTCTTAACAGATCAGATGCAAGCAATGAAGACATGAGAGATAAATAAGGGATCTCTGGGGTTCTTTTACACCTGCTGTCAGTAGGTGAACAAGTTCCTTGAAAAGGAAGAATGATTTGAAGAAGATGAACAGTTCAGCTAAAAGATCCTATATTGACTTGTTTCAGTTTAGTATCTCTTCCAGGAAAACTGAATGTAGACAACCTAGCACCTCAGGTATGCACACTGATGAATTCAATTGAATCTTATGACTGGAGAGCATATACAAAAAAAAAAATTGTGTTAACAACATCTGCATTCATTTGAGGTTTAGGTGGTAATTAGCCATGAGGAAATGCCCCTCTGTTTTTTGGGGGGCACCTTTTGAGCAAATGGGAATATTTATTTTCCAGAGAAAGAATAGTCAGCACTTCCTGAAATCCAGCTACATAAGATACCTACTGTTTCAGATGCCCAATTTTAGGCATTACTGCCATTTTTTTATATCAAAGTTTGACATTGGGTTTTTATTATCCATCTCTAATAGACTTGTATAAGAATATTTTGATTAAAGGTACAAGGATTCAAATATTCAGTGTATTTGTTATTGATGGTTGCAGATGTTTTTAAGGAATTGCTTTTAATGAAATGTTATTAATTTTTTTGTGATTATGCCATGGTTATATTTGCATTCCCATCAATAAAATTTCAGATATATGACATGCCCTGATTGGGTTTTTTAAGTTTAATATGTTCATTAATGGTCTTTACATAGTAGAGATTTTTGGTTTTCTATTTGTTTCATCTGGAATTTGTTTATCCATATTCAAGTGAATATAGCACTGTGTATGTAATAAAATGGTATCTCTGTTGCCAAGGTTTTTTTTATTAATTGCATGTTTTTTTTACACTACCTAATCAGCTAGACTGCTTTTCCACTTAATTAAGGAGCATATGAATCACAGGATGGCTCAGACTGGAAGGGACCTCAGTGGGGTCATCTGGCCCAACCTCCCTGCTCAGGCAGGACCATCCCAGAGCACATGGAACAGGATTGCATCCAGGTGGTTCTGGAATATCCCCAGTGAGGGAGACTGGGGACAGCCTCTCTGGACATTCTGTTCCAGTGTGTGGTCGCTGCACAGTAAAGAAGTTCTTCCTCATGTCCAGGTGGAACTTCCTGTGCATCAGTTTCTTGCAATTTGTATTTTAAAAGCACAGTTAAGGGACAGCTCACTGATTTACTAGACCATTATTATGAAATGTGTTATATACTTCTGTTGTGTATAAAGACTGTTTTATTTGCAAAGATAAATTTCATAAACTCTCTGGCTTCAAAGATGTACCATAGGTAACAAATTAAGAACTTTATTTTTGTTCTGCCACCTCTTCCCTTTCAATCCCTCCTCCCTTGTTCAGGAAAGAGCAGGCTGACCTTGGCAGTGCTGAAGACTCCATTTAACTCAGTGATTACCTGATCCCTGTGGGACATGTGATATGCAGCTCTTGCAAAAGCTTCCCCTCTCACCCATTAGCATATAAAACACACAAATGTTCTGTCAGCACACCTTCTAGGCCTCACCTCATAGAGGAATATTTGGAGCAAAGGCAGCTGAAATGGGAGGACAGTGTCGTGTACTCTCATTTATTAAATAGTTAAATTTAACTCCCCTGCTTTGCCAGAAGAAAATCTCAGTGTAAGAAATCTTTCTTACAGGATGCTGTGGTTCTTACAGCTCAGTTTAGCATGGAAGTATTTTCATGTCTCTTTCTGTGACACCGTTGGCCTTTTGTGAACTCGGAATCTAGGCATCTATACAAAAATCAAATACAAAGGAGGAATTGTGATTTATAATTCTGAGAAGTTCTTCTCTGAATTGTGGGCAGATAATTTTCTGATTTACTTTGCTTTGGATAATCCAGTAGTTAAAATAATGGGTTGGAAGGGACCTTAAAGATCACTGAGTTCCAGCCCCTGCCTTCCTTGGACAAGGGGCATCTTCCACCAGACCAGGTTGCTCAGAGCTCCATCCAGCCTGGCCTTGAACAATTCCAGAGGTGGGAAGACCACATATTCCTTGGGCAATTGCTGCCAGTGCCTCACCATGCTCTCACTAAAGAATTTCTTCCTAATATCTAATCTAAAACTATTCTCTTGAAAATAATACTTGTAGAACTGTTTTGCTGTGCATAAATATTTTGTAATTACTGTGGTTCACTTATATGTCTTATTTAAATGAAACATTTAACTTTAAATTAACAGTTTCTTTCCTACTAAAGAAAATTTAGGTTCTTACACAGACTCCATCTGCATTTCTGACTTCCTCGAATAGTATGGATCTTGATGGTTTCCTGATTATTTTTGTTTGTTTATTTTGAACTACATAAAGTGCTATATTATCCTGTGGATTGCCTTTACTGTCATGGGAAGGTGTTTGAACCTACTGCTTTGTTCTTCCATCCACAACTCTGAGGGAAGTACTCTAATATATTTTAATTTTTGCTCTCTAATGTGGTTAGTGAGTGCTTTTTGAAAACAGCAGTTAGTTTTTATATTTATTATTGTTCCCCTTCTTGGTTTTTTGGTGTTTGATTTTCTTCTGTAACATCTCTTTCTGTTCCTCCCCTGTGGGGCTGAATGAAGACCTATTGGAAGGAGTGGAAATTGAAACAGTCCTATCAGCAAAATGGTGGGTTGTTTTTTTCCCCACTTATTACTGCTTCAAACATTAGTTATCTCCTACTTTTAGGACATTTGTAATCATTCTGTGAACATAAAACCTCCTGAGGGGGTCTCTGCATGCTCACCTCTCCTTCCTACCTTGGTATACAGGCATAAGTCACTGACACAGGTGCTGAAGCCCTGAGTTGCTCTAAAAATGTTGAATTTGGTACAAGGATCATATATTGTACAAAATCCTCATGTATCTGTGCAAAAGGGCTGTTTTGGGGCTGGTTTGTGTGGCTGTCAGACTTCCCTGCTGTTCTCCCAGTACATTTAGAGTGTTAAAGTAATTAATGAGTTCTATCTGGGTGCTCCAGGACAGTTTGCAATGACAAGTTCTTTGTGCCAGAGGAACAAAGCAGGCAAAGGAATATTCCTTTTTTTTTTTATTTGATCCATGTTGCTGTAGGTGTGTGCATTAAGTGGTAATTTGAAGGGCAGTGGAGTGACTGAAAGAAACTGAGGGAATTTGGTCTGTACATCCCCCTCAGTGTTCTGTGCTGTTGCTTCTATGCACACTGCCCACCTACATATTTATTAATTTCCTTTAAATATGCCTGGTCAGGCTTAAGACTAGTATTTTCAGTTGTTATATAGTGCAGTTGTTTTCACATACAAAGTGTTGCCTTCTAGATCTCTTCACTGAGGGAGTGGCTATCAGGTAAATCCTGTGTAAATCCTAATTTTCCTAGCTGTGCCTCTCTAGTACTGAGAACACCAGTCCATGGGAACCTTGTGTTTAACTACTACTTGCTGTTGTGCTGAGAGCCTGCATGGCCTCAACACTCCTGGGCAATTTCATATGAACCAAGTGCAGTTCTCAGTGTGAGGATGTAAATGTAATGGAGCATCCTTTTAATCTCAGCCCTGTAACTGTAATTTCCTTGGGGTGCTTTATTTACTTATATGAAAGATAAGCTGCTGTAAAAGACCAGACATAACAGCTCAGCTTAGTTGTCTGCAGACAGGCATTCTAATGTGGTCATATGTGGAATGGTAACGTTGTACTTCAGAGCTTCTGTAAAACAGCTGTGCAACTGTTTTGGAAAGCAGCTTATCTCTTAGGAGCTTTAACTAGGAAATATCATTTTGTTGGTAATAAGTAAAAGTAACACTGATTCAAAATGTTTGTCCTTAAAAGCAAACATTTATTAAGCCAAGAAAAGAAATGGTGTTTAATTTCTGTTTGTTTGCTTTAAGTTTTACTTGTTTTTAAAGTTTTACTTGGTTGGAAAATCTCTTTATGATTAATTCCTGTCATCCATATATTTCGTTCTTTCTGGCCTGCCTCATTCCCGTTATACAGAAATCCTTACAAATCTTGATCCTCAACTTTTTGATCTGCTTCTTTTAATTTTTGTTGAGTACTCTGCAAGTGAAACTTTGCAGCTCCCTTCCCTGTTCTTTTGGTTTGGGATGGGGTTTTGAGAAACAAAATAGATCATGAGAGAAGGTCACAGAAGACAACACTAAAAAAAGGTACCACCAAGAAAGTATCCAACTCTCCACTTTCAGAAAGGTCAGGAAAGTTTGCTTTCAAAGGTTAATTTGATATGTCCTGATCCTTTTATATTATTTTTCACTACTTAAATGTTAAAATGCACTGTTACTATGCACAACTAATATTGTGTGTAATAGCTAATCAGAATTCAGAACTTTGAATGCCTTCCTGCAACAAATGCCAAGTGTTTTTAGTAATATTTTGTAACCATCCTTTAGTTTAAGGCTCTGTAGCTCCTGTCACAGTAAGTTACGTCAGGGAAGCATCTGTGTTTGTGTGAACCAGCACTTTGTAATTAATATGCCACTGTTCAGTCAGTTGGATTTACCATTTAATTGGTTGAATTTTCCTGGCCATATGAAATTCTTGCTCTCACAAGTACAGCATGTACGTGATAATGTACTGTTCTCCTTCAGTGGATGTCAGGATCTCGCCATGCAAATCAGCCGTGTTTGCTTTTCCCACTCTTCTAATGACAGCATGAAACCCCCTCCCACTACTGTTTTTCAAAATAAATCCTGGAAATGAAAGCTAGGCTCTTAATGTCTGTCTATCATTAAATGATCTTGTGTTCTCCAAACTGTTTGCCAGGAGATGAACTTAATTGTATTACAATTATATTACTCGGCACCAGCTCGAAAGGGAGTGTTTGTAATTTCTCTAGGATTCAGGGAACACCTTTAAGGAACAGGGTAATTTATGTAGTAAAAGAAGTGTAAATTTAGCAACTTCATGCTAGGCAATCTTTTGGCAAACAATGTTTTCTTTGAAGATCAGTAAGTAGATTGAAGGCTTAGCAAAATAGTTACTGAACCAAATTTAGTTTGCTGAAGAGTTGCCTAACAGTTCTCAATAAAGGGATGAAAAGACAGGAAGGAAAGATTTTAAAAACAAGGAAATTGGGAGGTGAAGAGGAAATTTTTTGGGCTGGAGTCATGCTAGTGAATATTAAAGAAACCTAAGCCTCATGAGGCTTGGTGAGGTAACCATGATAAATGACTGAAGTGGATGCTCGGCAGTACAGACTAATGAGAGCAGCCCCATGAAACTGCTTTTACAGAGCAAAGAGAGCTGGTGCTGAGAGCCTGATGTCCTCATCTGTGTGGCCTCAGTTTGCTTCAGTCTGAGCCTTTCCAAGGGCTTCTCAGTCCTTGGAGCACGCTGTGCACTCTTGGCTTTGAGTTTCACCCAAAAAGAATTGAGTTCGTGTCCTCCCAGCCAACTCTGCCATGTAAACAAAAGCACTATTAGTGAGGATTATCTGTAAAATACCCTCCTGACCTGAATTAATGCACGAGTGGAGGCATGCCTCTACAAATTAAAGAGGGAAACAATCCCAAAAAGTTTTCAAACCGTGGGCTTAGAAGCATGTGAAAAAACAGCAGAACTTGGCAAGAGGTCTCCACAAGCCAAGGTTCCCCAGGAATAATGCCAGTGAAATATTTAGGAAAATACAAGTTTGCAGTATGCTTCGCTTGGAGCTGGGAACGTTTATTCCACAAATACAGGCTATAACCACTGAGCAGGGATTAAGGGGTAACACTTCCAACTTGAAGGAAATGGCATAATGTCATTTGTGAAAAACAGGCAGTCATGAGTAAATAATAATAAATATTAAAATCTTTATGTCAATAATAATGGAGTCGTCTGTCAG